CCCGCTGCTGCAGCAGCGCCGCCTGCGCGGCGGGGGCGCCGGCGGCGGCGGCCGCCGCCTGCCGCGGCGTGCCGAGGGCGTGCGGCGGCTGCTGGGGCGGCGGCATCGGCAGCTGCCCGCCGCCGACGGGGCCCCACAAGGGGTCGAGCGCCATGGACGACGTCACAGCCGCCGCGGCCGCCGCCGCGACGGCCGCCGCGTGATGGTGGTGCTGGTGCTGGTGCTGATGCTGCTGCGCTGCCAGGTGCGCCTGCGCCTGCGCGAGAAGCTGCGCCTGCGCGAGCGCCTGCTGCTGGTGCTGCTGGTGCTGCTGCTGCACCTGCTGCGGCTGCGGCCAGCCGCCCCCGCCGAGAAGCTGCGCTGGCTGCTGATGCAGCTGCTGTTGCTGCTGCTGCTGTTGCAGCATCGCCGCCCACGCCGCCTGCTGCGTGTCCGCCTGGGCTGCGCCCGCAAGCACCATTCCCGCGCCGCTGCCACTGCCGCTACCGCTCCCGCCACCGCCCAGCACCGGGAGCAACGAGTCATCGAAGCTGACCGGCGCCTGCGGTTGGAAACCCCCCGCCGCGAGCCCCACCGCACCCGCATGGTGGCCGCCCCACAGTGAACCGCCGCTTTGCTGCTGCTGCTGCTGCTGCTGCTGCTGAAGCTGCTGCTGCAGCTGGAGCGCCGCCGCGGCGCCCGGCGCACTCAGGCCGGCAGCGCCCTGCAGCAGCTGCAGCTGCCGCTGCATGGCGGCGTCCTGCGCAAGCGACGCGGCCAGCTGGCTCTGCATTCCAGCGCGGCCATTCATCACGTATGGCATAGATATGCTGCGCCCAGGGGGCACCCGTCGTGCGCCACCCGCCGAAGAGGCCGCGGCTGCTGCCCCAACGCGCGGCGCACCGTACGCCCCGCCCGGCAGGCCCGCACCGCCGTCCAGAGCGCCGCCGCCGCCACCACCGCCGCCGCCGGCCCCCCCATGGCCCCCGAGCGGCAGGTTGTGGCGCAGCGGCGCCGCGCCGACCAGCTGGCGCGCGCTCGTGCTGCGGAGGTCCCGCTGCTGCTTCCGCGGGTGCACGGGGATCTCCCCGTTGGCGCGCATGGCGTTGACCGCGGCCTTGGAAGCGTCGAGGTTGACCCGAGCAGTCTGCAAGTCGAGGCCGGCCAGTGCGGCGCCGACTGCGCGCTTCGCGGCATCCACGTCAGCGGGCGGCTCGGGGCCGAACGACACACGCGGCCGTGCGCCGGCGGGCGTCGCGGCCTGCAGTTGCGCTTCCGGCTGTTGGGGGGCCGCGGGGGCCGGGGCGCCGGCGGGTGCGCCGTTCATCGGGGCCAGGCCCTGCAACATGAGAAGCGGGGGAGAGGACGACACGGTGTTGCGGCGTCGGCTGGCGGCAATTCGGGAGCGGAGTGAGCGGCATCCAGCTCGGAGGGTGCCTGGAGCCACATGGATGGACACGACCCAGCGCTGTGCGATCACGCCACCCAATGACCGGGCGGGCCACTCAACGATGGCCACCTGGCGTACTGCGCAGGTGCTTACTCCAAACTCAGCCCACGTCTGTGTCAGGTTGCTCACAGCCATTCAGCTCGCACCTGGAGTCCCGGCGCCAGGAGCTTCAGCGCGCTGGCGAGCTGCGCGCTAGCCGCGTCGCCGCCGCCGCCCACCGCACCGCCACTGTCTGTCAGGCGCGCCGCAGGCACCTCGCCGGACTTCGTGAGGCCGCCGCCAAGACGGCCACTGTAGATGTCTGGAGTTTTGTATGCGTCTAAAGGCCCTACAGTGTCGTCCATGCGGCCTGGGGGCTTCACAACTGAGGCGCGCGGGCCGGGAGGTGATGGACGCGCATGGGTCGCACCGCGGTGGAAGAAGCGCCCGTGTCAGGTTATGTATAGCTGTTGCAGAACTTTCCACGCGGGGCAGGTAAGCGCTGAAGACCGCTGATATCGAGCCCAGCATGCACCACACGTAGCCGTCTCGTGCCTTACCCCCGGGCTTCTGAGACCGTATCAAAGGCTCTGATTGTCCTATTGTATGCCAAGGCGCTGCTATGAGGGCGCCCTGGCCCTGTCTTGTGTGGGTACCAGGCCCTGTCAAGCGGGGGTGATCACAGTTTTGCTGCACTGCAGCCAAAACGAATTACACAATTAGATGACTGCTGATTAGCGTGGTGAGGACGTGCAAACAAAGCCGGCCAGCAAAACGAGCCAAAGGTCTGGACGATCACACGGGAGATTTTGTCCGCTGAACGCGCCGCTGCAAACCATATGTGATAACACCCGATCCACTGGTGCGATAGAGTGCAGTGGCATCCCCCATACCGACCCTGCACCGCCCAACGGCCGATCGCCGTCGTCAGTGACGCACGTTGGGCATCAACGGTGCGCCAGGATCACGCCCATGATTGAGGCAGCGTCAGCCCCAGAAAAGGACAGGCGCGTGCCACCTGTCCATGGCCTTCGTCCTGCACATACACGCACAGCAGCCGCAAAGAAGTGGGGCGGCAGGCTGGGCTGTCACCCTGCAGGGCAGACCAGTGCAGCGACGGCGGCGCAGTTGCAGCCACACAGGGGCCCCGCGCAGGCTAGTCAGGCGCGCCTTGATGCCATCGTCCACATACCGCCCAACTACCACCTCCTTGCCGCCTGCACCTCTCCCATCATCGCCGCTGTTGTCCGTGCCATTACGGGCAGCGGCAGCCGGGGCGGCGACTCCCGCTGCAGCAAAGTGTGTGCTGGCACCTGGCACGCTTTGGGACGCGCGGCCAGAGGCCTGTTGAGTGACATGGCAGGGACAATGCTGGCGCTGGTTTTCGAGGGGCACAGGGAGATACGGCTCACAGACTCCGCCCCGCGCCCACACCCCTCGGCGCCGGGCGACGCGGTCGTGCGAGTAGCGCTCTGCGGAATCTGCGGCAGCGACCTGCATCCCTTCCGGGGCGACGAGCGCGGCATCGAGCGCGGCACTGTGGTCGGACACGAGGCGAGCCACGAGGGCGGGCGGGCGGGCGGGGCGGTACGGCGCTGCGGCCGCGTTATAAATGCATTTGCAAGTCACAGCCCACCACTCAGCAGCGGTGCGTTTCAGGGCGGGTGCTGATGAGCGGCCTGCTAAACATGGGCGACTTGCTTGCCAAATCCAAGGTTTGCCATGAAGGACCCCCTCGCTGACTCCCTTGCTAATGCCCTTGCAGTTTGTGGGCACTATCGAGTCCCTCGGCAGCGAGGTGCGCCGCCCCTTGCACCCCTACCTGCGCCCTTAAGCATCCGCAAGCCGATGCAAAGTGTACTTGCAGCTGTGCACACACGCATACGCATGCGCCTGCAGGCGCACACACGCGCATGCGCACAATCACTGACAATGTGCACACGGCGACTGGTGGCTCACGCCAGCTCCAGCGCAAGCATGCGCGCACACGCGCACGCACACTCTGGGTCCCTCTCTTCGAGAAAACCCTCTACCACCCCCCTTCTCTCGCTCTCACTCGCGCACACTGACACAACCACACACGCACACGCGCGCACGTGACACTCAGGTGGCCGGCCTGTCCATCGGGGACCGAGTGATGAGCCCCTTCACCGCCAGCTGCGGCGCCTGCTTCTACTGCTCCAAGGGGCTGACCTGCCGATGCAGCCACCCAGAGGCGCAGCTCTTCGGCTGGATCCAGGAGCCGGTGCGCCCCCAATATGCCGGCCGAGCGCCCTGCCGCGGCGCCACCCGCGCCGCTGTTCGCCGCTGAGCTCGTGCTTGCCCCGCCGAAGGCAGCAGCCGCAGTCCTGGTCAGCGCCCAGGGTCGGGGCGATGGCCTGCACTGCATCCGCGCCGCCGCGGCGGGGGTGCTAGATTTTGCGCCGCAACCCATCAACCCGGTCAACAGGCCCCAGGGGAACCCGGCAGCTCAAGGCCGCGCGGCCTCCATGGCGGGCAGGCCCAGTATGTGCGTGTGCCCCTCGCCTCCAGCACCCTGGTCAAGGTGAGCCGCGCGCGCAGCATGTGTGCGCGCGCACGCGCGGCGCAACGCGTTGTGATGCCACTCTTGACGGCGGTGATGTCCGCGCGGCACTGGCTAGCATATCCACATAAGCAGTTCAGGCATGCGAATTTGGCCTGTACGTGGGGGCTTGCGTGCACTTGAGCACGTGCGTTCCCACCTGCATCTGCTATGCAAAGCGCGCACACACACATGCTCACAACCTACAAACCTCTCGGCAGGTCCCTGATGACGTCAGCGATGAGGAGGCGCTGCTGCTGGGTGGGTCCGCTGGCTGAGCGCGACGCTGCGGCTCGGGTACACAACTGGGCACGAGCCCCGGTTGCATTCTCAGCCGCGCACACCCCTGCATCTCACCCCTCGCAGCACGCACGCGATTACAGCTCAAGCTTCTAGGACTCGCCAATCACTGCAGCAGCAAGCTCGCCGATTCCCGTCTCCGGCGCGCGCCGTCGCAGGCGACATCCTCTCCACGGCCTTCTTCTGCGCCGAGCGCGGGGGCGTCGCGGAGGGCGACACCGTGGCCGTCGTCGGCCTGGGCCCCGTCGGGCTGCTGGCGGTCCTGGCTGCGCGCCACCTAGGCGCGGCCAGGGTGTTCGCCGTCGACGGCGTCCCCGGCCGCCGCGCGCAGGCGGCCAAATTCGGGGCCGAGCCGCTCGCGCCGGAGGACGCCGCCGCGGCGGCCGCGGCGGCGACGGGCGGGCGCGGCGCGGACGTCGTGCTGGAGGCGGTCGGAGCGGGCGGGGCGCTCGCGCTGGCGTTTGACCTCGTGCGGCCTGCGGGCGTGGTGTCGAGCGTCGGCGTGCACACGGCGGCGGGGTGGCCATTCACGCCGGTGGACGCCTACAACAAGAACGCCACCCTCAGGTGCCCGGGGGGTGGGAGGGGGATATCAAAACGACAGGGCCGCCGAGGGGGTTGCGCTGCTAGGAAGGCCTGGTTGCTTTCCTGCAGGTATTGACACGGCCTGGTCTCCGGCCCGGCACGTCAATGTGCTTGATAAGCAAGCACACACCCTTGCCTGCCCATGCGCATGTTGTGCCTGGGGTCGAGCAACGAACCGGGGCGCTCCTCAACTGTCAAACCCCTCACCCCCTCTGTGTGCCCTGTGTTGCTGCCGCCGCCAGGTTTGGTCGCTGCCCCGCGCGCGCATACATGGAGCGCGTGCTGCCCATCGTGCAGTCCAAGAAGTGGCCCTTCGCGGACATCATCACGCACCGCATGAGCCTGCGCGAGGGCGTGCGGGCTTACGACATGTTTGAGCGGCGGAAGGAGGGCGTGATCAAGGTAGTGCTGGACCCCTGGAGATGACGCCTCGTGCATTATTCTGCAGCCCTTTATGGGGGGTCGAGGTCGGCTGAGTCAATGAGGGGGCCGCTGAGCCCGGGGTTTGGCAGAGGGACGTGTCAGCAACCTCTACTACCCGACCTGCCCTTTTTTGTGGGCTTGAGCTGTCATTGTGGTCAAACCCCTGCTTAACAGTCTCGCGCTTCGTGTTGCAAACAATTGCAATCCCAGTGCAGCTGACGCCGCGGCGCTGGTGGACGTTGCGACTGACATGCGATGGGGGTTGACCACGTAACCGTTTTAAAATGTGCATGCACAAAAAAAGGGACGAGACAGACAAAATAGTTGGCGGTGGGTCAGGCGGTGGGTCAGGCAGATGTAATGAAATGGCAAGGTTATCCTCTGGGTAAGAACAGCAGTCCAGGCACGGGAGCAGCATGCAAGGGCACAAAAGCAGCATACAAGGCCAAAAGTCAAGGTCCAAGCCAAGCATCATACAGTCCAGAAGCGTTTGATTGACCCGTGGATTTATTCAGCAATGTGGTGGACGGAATTTATTCTGCAGTGCTTGACTAAGCAGGCTGAACACCCAATCAGTACAGAGCGCAGCACTTGGCAGGCACACATGGGTTGCGAAGAGCCGAGCGGATAAAACGGGCAGCATTCCAAGAATCCAAGGTGCTCAGCCCAGGAGCAAGAACATTTGTTATTCAGTGCTTGCCAATGCGCAAGCGGGCCGCTGAATCAAGCGGCCCGCGCGCCATGGTGCATCGTGCGTGCCGCGCATCATGGCAGGAACACATGCAAGGTTGCAAAGAGATAATTCTGAGGATGTGGACAGGGCATATGTCACCAGGTGGGTGTTTGTGAGGCAGTGTTCACGGCGAAGTTCGTGCCGGGGCTGGGTGCAGGGGGTGGTTCGCGCTTTCACTGCGGGGGTGCCACGTTCTGCTGGAACGCGCCCATCACGTTGCCGGCGGGCGAGTAGCGGCAGGTCAGAAGTGCGCCGCTGCCGCAGTTTGGAGCGAACCCACAGCCCAGCTGGGAAGAGCCCTTCCAGACGACCTGGGTGAAGTGACCTGCAGCAGGGTCGGAAGGGGGGGGGGTGAGCAGCAGTGAGTGGCGATTGGGAAAGGTTGTGGGAGTGCTGTGGGTGTGCCGCGCGCAATGGATGGATGATGCAGCCTGGCAGGCCACCATCAAGAGGCCGCCATTGCAATAAGACCGCGGCAGTGGCGTGCTCAAGACAAGCAGGGGATCAGGGTGGGCGGCCTCAACAAACGCAGCTCACCCGTTGCAGAAGAGTAAGAGCCGCTCGCAAAGTTGTAGGAACGAATTTCGTCGTACCACGCCTTGTAAGGGTGGCAAGTTGGTGAATTGGGTGTTGTGTGGGATTAGGGCGAGGTATGACAAGTCACGCATGCGGAGGAGGGTGCTGCCTGGGTGACGGAGGTACAGTAGCAGCCGTTGCGGCATCCTGGGTCGCCATACACACGTGACCAACAGCATCGTATGGCTCTGCCCAAAGCAAGCACATGCGAGCATCATGTTGAGGCACAGTGGAACACGCAGTCGCTGAGTTTGATTAGGATGTGCATGCAGACACCCACACATGCGTCACACACCTGGATAGCGGTGACAGGGTCGCGGTAGCCCTGAGCCAGGTTCTCGCCGTAGCCGCCGGAGGAGTGGCTCATGACGCAGCCCTCCGACCAGGACTGGGCGCCAGACGCAAGGGAGGGGGACCATGAGAGGGGGGCGGCCCCATGCCTGGCTCGCAGCTCGTTGTGCTTGGCCAGGACGGCGGCGGCCCAGTCGCCTGCTTGAGGGACATGAGGTTGAATACAAGAGGAGTGTGAGGGCGAGGAGGGGTTGAGTGAAGGAGTGATCAGCAGGCAGCGGAATTGTTGCATGCATGGGGAATGCCCCATGCGCAAACTGCATGTTTTTGCCTCGGATGCTAAAGAGACATGTCAGCATGCGCCATGCGGACAGGGCGCTAGTTGGCACCATCCATTCTTGCAGCAACATGACCGCCCGCGCTGCATGCGAGGCTTGCCAGCAGGCGCAGACGGAGACGAGGTGGTCTGCGGGGCGCTGGTTGTGGTGGGATACGAGGCGGAAGGGGTGCTGGTTTGCTGCTGTTGCGGCTGCTGGGCCTGGGGGGCCCCCATGGATGCAGCCGAGGTGCTGGACATCATCGAGGTCGGCAAGGAAGGCCAGGACGATGAGGTCGAAGACGACCAGGCCTGGCTGGAAGACGAGGCAAAGGAGCCGCCGCTTGACTGTGCCAAAGACTGTGAGGAGGAGATCCGTGGCTGGTTGGCGCCGCCGCTGCTGGGTCCCCACGAGCCTTTGGGCAAGGTGAGGGCACACCGATAGTTTGACCGGGTGGCGACATCAGGAGGAAGGACACCATCGGGGTGCACGCTGCCGCTGCAGGCTTACGCTTCGATTACAGCATTTCCTATATGTGCACGCCGGATTCTCACCGCTCTGGCCGAGCAGATCGCGCTGCGCAATGCCGCGAGCGGCGAGGAGCGATGGAAGTGGGCGCGCCGCAGCACAGCAGGCCGACAGCGTCAGCAGGAAGAGGTTGAAGTATTTGTTGGACGTCATGTTGCTTTGGTGATGCTCGTGGTGCGGTTGCTGGGGCGCCGGTTGGTTGTGTTGCCGAAGACGAAAATAGCGGCCGCTATCGTATCGAGGTTGACGGTCAGCAAGTCAGAAATGAATTGAACTATGTCCCACGATCCGGGTGCCGCGTATGTAAAGGGACGGTGACCGGCTGCGCAGCTGCTCGCGCCAATTTTTGGGTGCGACCATCAAAGTGCCCGTTGGGCGCCGAATGGGCGTTTTGGAAGGTACATTACATGATATATATGGCACACCTCTCACGTGCGGCCCAGCTGCCCACCTGGCACACCATGCGCCAGTCAACTCTCATGCACAGTCTGTGCTTGAGGCAGCTGCTCGTGCTGCGGCACACTCACTAGAGCCTCCTGGACTCCATGCAGATACGCTCAATAGACAATGTCCCCCAAACGAGAGCTCATTGGCTATCAATTCAGTGCGTCCCAGCCATAGCATATTGGCTTGTGCACACCGCCCCTGGCCTTGTATGTGTGACATCCTGGCTCCGTCCCGAAACCACCAGTGCACCGGCAATTTGTTCAGCCCCAGTTTTCTTAAAGGTGTAGACTATGTGATAATTGCTTGCGGCTCTTACGAGCGGCAGATATGCGGATATGTAAGGCCGTTTGAAGGTCCCATGATCCTATCAAATCGCCGGATGCTCAACAGCCTGATGCCCTCTGCTGCCTGGTCCCTGCTCATCATCCAACACATGAATGGCGCGATTGGCCTCGCACCAGCTCAAGCAACGAAGGATTCCCCCCCTAGCTTCAACACGGCGGGGCGCGGCATGCAGGTGAGCACCGACTTGGGCCTCCTCAAGCCCAGGCTCGGTGGCGGCATGTCTCTCACGACACAATTGCAACATTCCTCTGAGCAGGCCCAGTGCAAATGTGAAGTTGCACGACGACTGGAGCAAGTGAGCTGGCACGACCCAGGGCGCCGCACACCGCAGCAGCACCATTGCGGCCGGGCATAGCAGCATCCAACACCCAGAATCACACACACACAGCTGTATCTGTCATTCAACATGCGTGACGCGTGACCTGCCAGTGTCATCATTATGACATCACCACGCGCGCGGCCCGCCGGTGGGTGGCCTGAGGCTGTCCAGCAGTACCCACTCCAGTGCCATGGCCTCACTCACAACCTTGGTGTACCTGGATGGAGCGGAAAGTTCACGGCGAGAAGCGCTCCGCCACGTTTTAGTGCTGTAATTGGCCCTTCGCCTGGATGGGGCGATAGCCTTTCCCGCCCCATCAGCTTGGCGCTGTGCTGCCGAAGATCAGCACGCAGAAACAGGATTGCGCGGCAACAACGCCTCCTCACAATAAGCGGACCCGCCGCCTTCCATAACCCCAGCAGGCCCAGGCGCTCACCACGCCCCCAAGAAGCGCGACGCGTAGGCCGCGTCCATAGCCACCGCCTCCGCCGCCCCCGCCGCAGCGCCCGGGCCGGCGCGCACGGCGG